AAAAAAAAAAAAAAAAAAAATTAAAGAGAGATGTTGCCTAGGTTCAGGGCTGAGGGCTTTATCTGTAATTTTGTTCAGGAGGGAGGCATGACTAAGGGATGAAGGGGTTAATGGTGGTAGACCTAAGTGAAATTCTCCATGTGGAGTTTTACTTAATCTCATCTGCCTGTACTATGTATCCCTACAGCCAAACCCATGCGTATCAAAGAGGATATTCTTGCCTGCTCAGCTGCTGAGCTCAACTACGGACTGGCCCAGTTTGTGAGAGAAATTACTCGACCCAATGGCGAGCGCTATGAACCTGACAGTATCTACTATCTGTGTCTTGGCATCCAGCAGGTACCCTTGCACACTGCCTCACTTCCCATCACTCAACATAGCAGGCAGGGTCCAACCACAAATGATCTGTCCTACTTTGTCCCCTACCCCAAGCAGGCAGCTTGCTTTTAATCTTCTAGTGAAAATATGATGTGAGATGTGAATGCTATTCTAAAAATCAAAGCTTCATTCCAGAACAATTGGTCAAGGAGCAGTCTTCATTCCTGTCTGGGTCCCCTTTGTAATCCTTAAACCCATTCTAGGAGGAGAGGGCTGGGTGGAGCTGGGCTTCTTGAGTGGTGGTGTAATGTTTAGTTCCACCTGGGAGAGGTCAGCCATGTATTACCTGACAAGAGGGTCTGGGCTTCTAAAGAACATACATCTCCTCCAAACCTCCTCTTCCAGCAAAGCCTCAGTACCTGAGTGATAGGTTTACCTGGGGAAAGTATTCTTCTGGGTCACCTAATCAAGCAGCTGTTTTCCATCATCTGCTCATTATCAAGGAAAAGATACCTGGGGCTTTTGGCATCACTGTCTTTCTTCTATGACCTACAGTCTGGCTTTATGTGTGTGTGTTTTATTTTTCCCCACAGTACTTGCTGGAAAATAACCGAATGGTGAATATTTTCACGGACCTTTACTACCTGACTTTCGTTCAAGAACTCAACAAGTCTCTGAGTACCTGGCAGCCCACGCTCCTCCCCAACAGTAAGGGACAGGGAGTTAGCAGCCCACACATCCTTTCCTTCATTGTTCCAATATGCCAGTGGTTCTCAACCTGTGGCTGTATTAAAGGGTCGCGGCATTAGGAAGGTTGAGAATCACTGCAATATACCATCCCAAGAGTATTGTGCTGTTTGATCTACCACTCTTCACAAAGGGTCCAAGGACAGGAGCACCTAGCTGAAGATTGCGGGTTTAGAGCTAGAGGAGCAATCAATCCACCCACCTCCACCTCCCAGAGTGCTAGGATTACAGGCGTGAGCCACTGCACCCAGTTTACATTTTCTTTAAAAACCAGTCCTGCTGGCTCAGCGCCTGTGGCTCAAGTGGTTAAGGTGCCAGCCACATACACCTAAGGTAACAGGTTTGAATCCAGCCTGGGCCCGCCAAACAACAATGACGGCTGCAACCAAAAAAAAAAAAAATTGCCAGGCATTGTGGCGGGC